ATTTTCGCCAAAAAATCGCCAAGTTACCATAATCCAAAGATCAACCTTTTGTGCTATGCAGCTCTGAAACAGAACTGCAACTAACAAAAAGAAAAAAAAAAAAGACTATAAACGCAAAATTTGTTCAACAGAACTTTCACTTTACAAAATCATATAAGGTTTTCCCGAACTATTCATGAACAATTATACTTTATAGCAGCAATGCACCTTGAATGTAGAGTTGCCCTTAATATTCAAACTATATTTCATATCAGATTTATGTTAACAGAAAAGTTATTCAGTTAGAGTTGGAATTCTTAGCTTTGTGACCAGAACTAAAAACGGTAATTTTATGTCACATCAGAATAGTAAGCTCTAAATGAACTCAAGACTGTCCAACAAGAAAAGTGGAAAAAAAAAAAAATTAGGAACAACAAAGTGCTCTAAATGATTAAGAAATACCGACTCTGTATAATTCAATCGACAATATTTTCCACATTTGCTCCAAATTATGTCATGCCTTACACCTAGTAGTACTGAAACTCATACAGACTGTATACATACGATCACCAAAATAAATTCTTTTTGGAGCAGACTACCCAAGACATTCTTTCATTCAAACGACTAATGTCTGCCTGAATGGCTAAGATCGCAAGTTGTTTCTACCCTCCCCCCTACAATTCACAACAGCTTCAAGAGCAGTTTTGCCAAATGTTTGTATCAGTGCATCTTTATTATAGAGTGTCTTGCCCTAAAAGGTTTCGGTTAATCTTTGGATTATGGTAACGTGGCGATTTTGTGGAAACCAACCCTGCTACAGCAGCCTGCTAGTTTCTGTTTGGACGACATTTTGTTTTCACGAAGTAAAGGCATTTTTTGTTTAATCAACATTTTTTTCCAACAATCTGCTAGCCGAATTATGCTTATGCTAGAACTTTTATGGAACAAAAATGCTTAATTATGACGAAGATTAAATGCAAAATTGGGAGAAAGTGCAGAATCGCAAACTGCTTGCCGTGTTTTTAAGAATTGGACATACACGGTATCATCCATGTACACGTCGACCTATTTTCACTTAAAAAAACATCCCAGAATTGCACAAAAATGGCATTGCACACACTCTTGACTTTATCCATGTACATTGCTAAAGTCCTAGCTAGTAACCTTTATCGCCTTACCAAAATGTCGCCAAACTACCTGTTACCATATTCCAAAGATTAGCCAAGGTTTCTTTTGTGGTTCTTTATGTTAAAAAGTGACTTAGTATATACTCAGTAGTTAATGGCAGTTCTTTATTACGAACTAGAAATTATATCATTTGAAACTTTCACAACTCTCTCTTCGTTAATGCGAGAGGGGAAGAAATTGTTGTAAATCTGAAATGGACTGAAATTTGAGGCATACTGGCATTTGAATGTAATGATTTGAGGCAATTTTGCATTTTAAGCAAACAGGTAAGTGATTGCTTTGGCCTTCAAAAGGCTGTATGCAACATTATTTATGAAACATATATCCTTGTTAATGATTGTTTCAAACAATATTTGAAAACTTTTTAAACATTTTGAAACATGAATATAATGAAACGAATGAAATAACATATCATCAATGGATAACCATAGACTACTCAATATTCACTTCAACTTTACATCTGATTTTAAACCTCAGCTTTTGCATATCCTAAAAACTTTGGATGAAACATCATATTACTCCTATCAGGCCAGATATTTGAAAAAACAAAAAACTACAAACAGATTAATATATTTTGTTACTTGATTTTTTTTTTTTAAATTTTATGTTTGTTTGGCAGACTTCAGTACAATTACATTCCATTTTTCTGTAGCATATAAGCCATGTTCAAAAAGAAGCTGAACTTTTGCTATAATATCTTTATTGCTTGTTGTACAACATTTTGGGCACTGTCGCCCTCAAAGTAGAATCCTTTGCTGGCAATACAATATTTCCATCATTTCTTACATTTTTTAAAAGCCTCCTAGAAAGAAATTTTTGTAGGGATGTGCAAGTGTCTTGTCGCATTCTCTGAATCTCCTCTACCGATTTGAAAACAACATCCTTTCAACGTGGTTTTCAGTTTGACTGACAACATAGAAGACTGCTGGGATTAGATCCGGAGAATACGGTGGATGGGACATAACTAGAGTGTGATGTTCTGTTTGACAGGGATGCAGACATAGAGCGATGTGCAAGCTGGAACATTGTCATGATGCAACATCCAAGTTTGGTTTTTCCACAATTCAGGCCTCTTCTTACCCACAGCATCCCTCCAGCATGCTAGAATTTCCTGATACACTTCCTTGTTTATCAAGGAACATCAAGGTCAGAAGGTAAACTTCCTTGTTTATTCCTGATGGACAATGCCTTTGCAGTCAAAAAACACAGCCAACATCATCTTGATCTTTGGCCCATTTGTGCATGCCTTTTTTTTTTTTTTTTTTTTTTTTTTTTTTTTTTTTTTAACGAGGAAACCCTCCCCTCCTACTGCAGTAATTGCTCCTTCGTGTCAATATCATAGCCATAAACCCAAGTCTCATCACTTATTTTTAGCAAAATTTCACATGCAAACATTCAAGCTCTTTTATTGCCACTTTGCCACTAATGCAACAAATGCCTTGTACTTCAGCGGCTGTAGATCGCCAACTAATGATCAGAGTGAAATCTGACAAATGGCAGTTGGTGTTAAATGATCCCACTATGTGCATTCAGTAGGGGAAGCATGTTTCCTCTGTAACTTGGAGTGCTATTCTAAAAAGGTTGGTTGCTTTTGAACATACCTCATGTATTAAACCACATAATAAACTCAGAGTTATTGTTTGTCTAAACTAAATACATGGTCAATAACAGTTTAATTCATCATAGCTTTCTAATGAATTGCAAGCCTGCACTTTACCTCAAAACATCAAGACATTTTACTCCAATGATAGTAGTTGAACCGTATACAAAAAAAGGGAATTTTTTTTTTTTTTTTTTAATTTTGTCCATGCAATTAAAGATTACACCTTTTTCCGTCATTATTCAATTTCCTTAACTTAGTCCAAAATGCCTCAGTTTGTATTACAGGTTAAAAATCAACACCGTATGCCACAGAACTCGGTACTTCTTGACTCCTTCCTGAATTTTAATAAACAAAAATCATTAAAAGCTCAAAATCTTAAAACAATAAAAACTGAATAATGACTATGAATTAAAACGGATATAAGATAAAACTGAAACATTTATTATATCTGATGCTATATCACTGGCATATTATCCTAAATTCCTTCATATAATTTTACATTTTTTCAAAAGCTAATTTAATAATTTGTAATATATGAAATTTGGGTTGATCTTTACATTATGGTAACTTGGCGTTTTTTTGGCGAAAATTTGGCGACCAACTGTTTTACAGCAACCCTCTATTTTTTTTTCCCCGCTGCCATTTTGTCTTCACGAAGTAAAGACATGTTTCTTTTCCTTTTATCTACTGAACACTTCTTCCAACAATCTACTAGCCGAATTACACTTATGCTAGAAATTTTATCTAACAAAACTGCTTAATCATGACAAATATTCACTGCAAAATTGGGAAAAAGTGCACAATACAATACTCCTTACGCGTTTTTCAAAATAACACATACACATAAACCATGTACACGCCGACTTATTTTTACTTAAAAAACATCCCAGAATTGCACAAAAATGGCATTGCGCACACTCTTCACTATATCCATGTACACTGCTTTTTGCTCATAAATTAGAAAAATTTCACGAAAATACATGACAATTTTCTCAATCTTTAAAGCCGGTAAAAAGAACATATATAAAATTACCTGATCGCGAAAAAGTATTTACTTTTTCCAAATATGAACATTTCCACATATAAAATAAATGAAAGATCCAAAAACTTTTACCTCTAAATCATCTATTACATTATACACGTCACCAACGAATTCATACCATAAGCATTACAAATACTTAGTATCAAATATTTAAATTATTTCCATGCACGTTTACTTCAACTTAAACGTATACCAAATTCCTACAAACATAAAATTCACAAAATAACTATCATTTAATTAAAATATAATTAAATTCAAAAACACTACTTAAAATATAAATGAGCACATACATTAAATTAATACATACATAAATACCTATTTCGAATTCACTTTAGTTACGGCCATGGGATCCAAAAATTCACGAACACTGTTTCACACAACACAGAATAAAGCCAAATACAAAATTTCCAGATTTTTTCCCGATTAAAGAACCGTAATTCGTCCATTAATATCACATGACATATCCCATGATCTCTCATTTCCCTCACACAAAATAATGCGTAATCGGAACTGAGTACTGCTCACATTATTACCAAAGTCCCAGGTAGTAACCTTTATCGCCTCCAAAATGTCGCCAAACTACCAGTTACCATATTGTAAAGATCAACCGAAATTTGAAACATACACATAAAAAAATAAATACATAAACTTCCTTGACCTATTTGGAATATAATTCAAAATTCCTCAAGATGTAATACATTAAAAATCTTGACAATTAAACACATACTTGTGGTTCAAACTACACAATTCAACAGTATAAAACTGACAGATTTAAATTACATATACATAAAATAAACAACAATTACATTTAAATATATATATACTTTTTCTTGCAGATCAGAAATAAATTTATTTAAAGTAGATGTACGAAATACACAATAATCCATATTATACATATTAATAAAAACTTCAGAAACAAAACTATTTTAAAACGTTTTAGCGTCCTTTGCATGGCATTGAGGTATGCAGTGACATGAAAATATTCAACAAACAGCACCATCGTATGCAGTACAGCTTATGAACTAATTTCTACACGGAATGGATATGCCACATATCACTGAAAATGCACAGACTAGTGGACATTGTTATTTCCTTTAACATCTAATGCCTTGACACAAATTACAACACACGAAACTAGTTAAAAAACACGTACATTTGGTCAACTTTTACTGCAGTTTAACAACTTACCGTATTTATATGATGTACAATAGTATCTGCAATTACTGAAGCGTGCCGAATATTTTCTTCAGCTAACATCGTCAACATATTTATGTGAGGTTTGCTATTAAAGTTTAGATCACTTAAAGATGATTTGTACTCTTCAGCAACAGTCTGTGCCATGCTGGCACGATGGCTTAATATCAAATATTAAAAAATGCAAACATTATATTTTTAAATAAATTAACAAGGAACAGGAAATGGACACTGATCATCATCGTCGGACAAGCACAGGAAAACATTTATATATTTCAGCAATTACAACGAATAGACGTTGTAATCGCAGGGTCATATTAAAAGTGAAAACACTGAGAGTATATGAAATAATCGTGTAAAGTACTGTTGCCAAATTCAAACACTAATTTCGTTTAAAAAAATTATTTCCAAATAAAAAAAAAGCTGCTTTGAAAACGACAAACTCTGACTGGCTGAGATCCTATTTTATTCTCGAGTGTCGAGATGTAGAAACACAAACGACAAACAACACGCCAAATGTCTAGAGCTGGGTCGGAAACAGATCTAAAGAACATGAACTTCGCTCACGCAACGGGTTATCATGTAAAGCTATTGATTGCTTATTTAGCTCAAGGTACGCATTTCTTTCGTTTATTGCACCGACTTCTCATTTTTCCAACTTTGAAAAAAAACTTATTTATGGAAACAACACCCCCACCAAAAAAAAAATTAATAGCACTTTTATGATAGTATATTGAAGGGCTGCGTTTGTTGGCCTCATTACCGAATTTTAATGAAGCAGAATGGAATGGTGTTAAGCATAGGAATATAATTTATTCCTCATACAGAAAATAATTGTGCCGGGAGCATTGTAGCAGCCTTTCTTCCCCATGGGACACACCAGGACGCCTATTCCCTGATCACTCGATCTGTCTACAACTTGAGCTAACAATATTGACTCAAAAAAACCGATATATTGACAGCCATCACAACTTATCGGAGAAAGCCATTTTGTGGTCCTCAGTTGGTGGGCGGGTAGGTCCATTTGACTTTACTGAAAGGGGACATGGCTTCAAGGAGCTTTAGACAAATCGCAGTACACACGAGTGACGAAATTCATAGCGCGCGCTAGCTGAAGTTATAGAAATAGTCTCCCATTATTTCACTAACTCATACGCTGCATTTGTAGTTCGAAAAAAAATTGCACAAAACAGTATTATGACCAAGGAGATTATGACCAACACGCAGCAGAATATGCTGCTGTGTTATGTGAAGGAAAATCCCGTTTTTAATGGGGAAAGTTAACGCAGGAATTTAGAGCTAAGAGATAAAAAGTGATATGGGATACCACGAAAGCAACAGTAAATAGATAAGAGTAAATGAATTAAGCTTACTTCAAAACCTTTCAGAAATAAACAATTTTAATTATTTAAATTTATAATATGATTAATTTGCATTACAATCTAATAGCAAACTTTTTTTTCATGACAGACAAACAAAGTAGACAGATGTCTTGTTTTGCACCCGCTAAGTCTTTCTGCACCGATGGGCGAAAAATCAAGCATAGGTGTGAAGGAAAGGTATATAGAAAGGAGGGCAAATTCGTATTTGAGGAGAGTAAAAAGGAACTTCGTACATTTTGTACGAGCTCAAAAGGCCAGAAAGAAAAGGTGGGACAAAATAAAATTTAAAATAAATGGCCCAAAAAATAATAGAGGGGGAAAAAAGGGCCTATAGAAAGAAAAGGAAAAGAAGTAGAAAATATCCTAAAAATACGATTGTGTCCATGAGTGTAGTTAAAAGGAGTTCATTTGCCAAAATTAGTGTCTTTAAGAAGCAAACTTCAGCTAAGTTGAAAAATAAATAAATAAATAAATAAATTCCTACATGGTAATGTGTTATGCCCTTATCTTGAGACCTAACTACAAAAGACACATAATTACAAAGTAAACGGGTGTGATATAGGAGTAACACTTAACATTACGTACGTTTCTTGGTACCAAAGTTCCGAGTGTAAACGAGCCTTTACATCACAATTACACATATTTTACATCATAATTTTAACTAAAGTAACATTAACTATTACCGTTACCAAAAAATTCATGTATATTTAAAAAAAAAAGAAAAACAGTAATTGACAAAATCATAAATCCATACACAGTGTGAGAACAATGCACATCAGCAAAAATAAATTATACAGTTTATTTTTTTTTAAATATTAGTTAAATATAAAATTAATTTATTAATTTAACCGTTGTAATTTATTATAGTACAAGTTTAACAAATTCCGTCACACTGTATTTATATATGCTCATAATTTTAAGTTTGATACCTGGAAAAAAAAAGTCGGGGATCTTAGTTACAAAAATCACAATCTATACTCATCGATGGTCAAGAGATCCCCATTTTTTCCCTCTCAAGAAATGCCTAAGCACGAAGAGGGGGGGCCTCCGAAGGGTGTGAATTGCTAATAAGAACGGACTACTGATAAGGAATGTGGCGTCTCTACGGAATAGTTACGAAGGAAAGAACCATTTGACTTGCTACTATTACTAACTATTCTATAATGCTAGAATCTTATGAAAATACTAAATAAAGGAATTTAATGGCACTTTAGTGATAGAGAATAAGATATTGTATAGAGAACAGAATGTTACTTATCTGAATATTCCGTGTCAGGGTTTCTTTTGGATTTCTCGTGTAGATAGTAAACAGCGAACAAGATGTTTGAAGATTCGAAGAAGAGAAGTTTCCTTTTTCAATTTGATGAATGAGACATTGCATAGGGAAGGTGCATTAAACGTTTTTAGAGAGTTGAAAACATTTACTGAAACACTTATTTAAAAATTTCTGAGCTATGTTTAGACACTGCCTCCAGCTCCGCACTCCAGCGGCGTCTCCCTTTTTTTCATGCTTACCTTACAACTGTTTTCACGCAATTTATTTTACAGTTAATATTGGGAAAATATTTCTTAAGTAAGAAATTAGAAAGAAAATATTTCTTTCTTAATATTTCTTCCCTTTTTTTATTTTCTTTTTCTATGAAAATTATTTCTTTCAGGAAAAGAAATAAAATTCATTCGCTATTATAGTATGGCCGATTGCTGCTGCATTCAGCTATCACGCACGTATCAATATGCTTTATTTTGATAATTTATTCTATAATTAACATGAAAGAAAATATTTTTTCCATATAAAATATATAACCAAAATTAAACTAATCTATCCTGTATGTATGATTAATTCGTTTTGAAATTTTTGTCACACAATTACTAATACCTTTTTTTTAATATTACATTGCTGTTATTTTAATTTTTTATATATATAAGAACTGCTTATTTTAAATATTCTTCCTTCTCAAAAGATTTTATTCTGTGAAAATAATTAAAAGATAGTAATATTATTTTCACAATGCAAGTACTAAAGTAAAAATAATCATTGTAGGTCTCCTGCAGTTGAAGTCCTTGTCAAACCAGCGTTTCGACACATTTTAAATAAAAAACTAATAATAATCAATATCTCTTTTACAATATAAAAATGATAACTCTGCTATGAACAGTATTTTTTTTAAGTTTGCAAAGAAACAATGATTTTTGAATGCTAATAGATTACAAAAGTACTACTCCATGAACAAACCCTCAGGCTAGCAGTGTTACTTTATAGCATAATACAATAATAATGAAGTATAACGTCTGCTAACAAGCCCACCAGCGGCCGAGCGGTAGAGTCGCTGAACGCAGGTATTTTGGTCCGAGGTTCGGATCCCACGAACGAGCTGGCCACATTGGCGTTTTAGTGGCTTTCCCATGTGTAACGTGTATACAAGCCAGTTTCCCTTAGAAACCAATATTAAAACGTAATAAAATTACACACACACCCCAAAAAAAATCAGAAAGCCTTCAGATTTTATATTACTCCCAAAGAACCATTTTTTTAACGTTTTGCGTGTTACCTTTATTTATTAAATATCATGTTCTTCGCACTTAAACCATAAAATTGAATTCAACAGCAATATCATATAATTTTAAAAAAGCATATCTTTAGAATTTCCGATACATAGTCTCCCGCACTAGAGATGAAAATGTTTTTTTTTCCTCTTTTTTTTCCCGTACAATGTTGCCATTGCTCGCTTTGAAATCGTTGGCTTTCTTAATCAAAAACTCATAAATGCTTTACAAAATATGAAATAGATAATAAAACAAATTCCCAGTTCCAAATTTGGCCTCCAGATGCCTATATTAGGATGGAGAATTACGTTGTTCAGAATTTCATGGCTCTAGGTAGCGTTGTTTTATCACAGTACGAGAAACATTCATACATTTATGCAGATTCCTCATTATTCAATTTCTTTAAATATAATACAGTGCGATAATACCTAGTGGCAACGATTTGAAAAGTGAAACGCCATTTATCGTGAAACGCCACAAAATGGCAAAACGAAATTAATAGCCCCTCTGGGCTAAAACTTATTTTTAAAAGGATCACACTAGTAGTAATACTGCTACTGAAAAAATATTATAAAGCTATTATATAGTTTTTTTTATTTTTATTTTACAGTAGTGTGAATTTCGCGCAATAATGAACGACATTCCTTTTTATGTTCACAGTATTGTTCGTAAGGTATTCAACTGTCAATTCTTGCTGTACATAAATCGAGTAGAAGCTTATCGGATGTCTATACTTGTATTAAATGAAGAAGGTTTATGTGCTTGATAAACTTATTATCTTCTACATTTTTAAAGAATGTACAATTACAATCAATTACAATTACAATTTATATCTATAATTTCAGGAATAGTATAAATAACCTTTCTTTCAGTAGAAATTGCGTTCTTGTTTTCTGAATGTGTCTCCAAATACTCTCTCAATTCATCGCAAATTAAAATAACTCTAAATTTTGACAATCTGAATTACGCAATGAAAACATCTTTGGGCAGAGCAAAAGCGTCAACGTATTTTCTATAAATTCGCCACCAATTCAGAGATCTACGACCGTATTCTTCGTTTAAATATGAAAAAATCAGCGGCGAAAACACATACAAAGCCATTGTCTACTTAGTAAGTCAACTGCACAACCCTGATTGACGACATGGCAACACTTTTTCGCGCGCTTTCGACAACTTCCGTACTCAGAGAATATAGGATGTCGGGCAGACCTGTTTTTCACTAGCAGCGACATCTGGTGGCCCACAACTTGCTGTCTACTCTCGTAGCGTAGAATAACCGTCCAGAAGAGACTCTCTACCTAACAGGTAGATACTTTGTCGTTCACGTTTCTGGAACACATTCTAGGTGTTCTCTAAAAGCCCTTTTGGTCCCCACTCTCTTGAACATTTACGTAAACGACGTTCCTGCAGCACCTAACACTACGTTAGCAATG